GAGTCCACAATATCAACCCAGCGAAAAAGATTACAGTGGAGCACAGCACTATCCTCTTTGGCTCCGAGTCCTGGCACACGTGTGTATTTTCCCCACACATTTTCACTTGAACATGAATAATTTTAACTTTACACCACACATTTAGCACAGGAAATGGAGCTCTCCTCTACTAAAAAGAAAGTCTGAAAGCGCCTAAGTCAAGGTCACTGAGCCAGCCACTGCTCAGCCTGATTTTTGATCGCTTGTTAGTGCTCGGTTCTTCCTTCATGGGGGTGGAAGGGTTCTCATCTTGACATCGTCACAAGCCAGGCAGCATCCTCCCTCACTGGCCAGAATCTGCTCGGCACTAGAAGAGGGCTTCACTCACGTTGCCATCAATCCCATGGCTGCCGTGAGCCTTGTTCTGATCCTGGTGGCCAAAACTCATTTCTCCATCACCTGTCACAGATTTTCCCTTGTACAGGTATTTTGCACGGATTAAGGTACCTTTTAACAGCACAAGTCTCTGAAACACAGCGATACAAGGGACAGGCAACAGTGGATGGCACCGAGACCTCGCTGCGTCTCCTGGCCCTGTATAGAAACAAGTGGGCACATGTTAGAGCAGGATTTGGGAACTCAAGTTTGGGCTTTTGCTGGGTTTTGGTTGTTTTTCAAAGGGTTCACAAGATTATTTTTTTTTTGCTGTACACCATTTAATCTTACTGTAATTTAAAATATGGAGCATATTCTTAACGCAAGCACGTTAGGGAAAAGAGCCTGGCATTTGGGGAAGCAAATAACATGTCTTTCCAGATGCTGCAGTTCCACTTATGTGAGACAAAATTTTGGTCTGAAATCTGGATATTTTTGGACAGTAAACCAGATTCGGAAACTTTCTTTCCCAGCTAATTCCACATCCGCCTGGCCAGCTTGTGCCTTTTTCCCTGACAGATTAAATATTATTCTACCCCATGTGTAAGAGTCTTGCAAATATCAAAGCAATGACTATATATAGGAATGCGTATTTTTGTTATTACAAAAATCAGCTTTTCCAAATCGCTTTGGAGGGTTCACGCGTGCGATTATTATTTTTCAAACGGAGGGGACGCTTTCTGAGCAAACCTGGCTGTGTCAGCGGCAGGACTGGATCTGCGTCAGCAACGGCAGGGCAGGAGGCCACCAGTCCTCCACCCACCATAGGCATTCCTAAAACCGATTCAAAAAGCTCCCATTTCCAGCTTATTTGAAGCTCGGCATTTCGGTGTCAGGGGGCCAAAGGCAGTGCAGGTGCCTGACCATTCCGTGCTGGCTCAGTATCAAACTGGCTTTGTGTCAGCTTCCAGTCACAACCAACACCGACTAGATTTCAACTGCTTTCATTACTTTTGCTGCCCCTGCTAGGGAAAGTGAACAAATGAACATGTTGAGATTTCCTTAAATTCCATTATCTAAAGCCGATGGGGTAGAAAAAAAGGACGGGTCTCAAACTGAAGATCCACCTCGAAGAGGCTGCTACATCTAATCACGACCAAATGCAAGATGATTAGGGAGGCAATTTAAAAGGAGGACAGGTAAAAACCAAACTGTTCCCCAGCCGTGCCCCCTTCCTCCAAGCCCCCAACCATCTGCAGCATGGAGTTGTTTCAGAAATGATTAAAATATGAATTAACCCTTCGTTCTCACGGCTAACAGAACATCGCGCAAACCACTCGTGCGTCCTCTGCTCAAGACCAAGTCATTTACCTTGCTCTGACACATTTTTCTTCGTGACCCCCTGCCTCAGTCCCCTCGCCAGCAGGAAGCAGCCCCTGCCGTGAGGGCAGCAGCCGCCCCAAGCCTGAGCCCCTGAAACCTCAAGCCAGCAGCTTTGGCATGGCACTAAGACAGCTCGCTGGGCAAACCCTGCCTTGCAGCCTGGTTTATCGATCCATGTTTTATCAGACCAGCGTTCCACCTTTGCAGGAATCAAGCTCCGACTTCTTTAAAGGGGCACCTTTAGGCAAGGCCCTACCTCAGACATAGCACGGCCAACCCGCCTGCGACAGAAACCAAAAGTGAGGTCTGCAAGAAGTAACATTTCCCTAAGTTTACCTGGAACTGTGAACAACAAGAGAAGGGCAAGGCAACAGCAACGCACGTCATTTATTTTGGAACAAGTCTCTTTTGGATGGTCTCTAAAGAAAGCTTTTTGTGGTTTCGTTGGAGGGGGGAAAGGGAGACAGAGGGCAAAAGGACAAGGCTACTTGTAAATGCCAAGATTAAAGCCAGGTACGAGCGCTGTATCAAAAAAGTAAGTTAAAGCAGCAACAAATCATAGAAGGCCTCAAGTTGGAGGGCACCCGTAAGGATCAGCGAGTCCAGCTCCCTGCTCCTCGCACTAAACCATAGGACTAAGAGCATCATCCGGACGCTCCTTGAACTCCGAGAGGCCTGGTGCTGTGACTGCTTCCCTGGGGAGCCTGTTCCAGTGACCGACCGCCCTCTCGGTGAAGAAGTGGGTGCACACGGTAAGTTTAATCGTTCAGAAAAGCTTTTCCGTCCCAGCCATTGAAGGCGATTCTCACCCCAGTGTTTTCGTGAGCAAGAATCAATGCAGATTTTTGTCATCACTCAATCACGAAGACTCATCCAGGCAGGACTACCTCATTACGCCTGACAGTGATGGAGGAGACATGGAGGCAAACTCCTCCTATTCCTGTTGGGAAAACTTGCATTGCTTTTATTTCCATTATAAGCCCGTAGTAGGAATAAAAGACCCCGCTTATTACCTACACAGTTTAGGTCTTTTAAGATTTGACACAGAAACCACTGAAACTGCCTGAGAGGGAAGAAAGAATATCTCAAGGTTTCTTCAAACGCGTTTCAGTGGAGTCCTTGCTCAAAGCCAGCTTCTGTATCATGTGGGTATCCCCCATGCGTGCTGGGACACCGCACCCGTAGTGGCCCTAGCGAACACACTCAATTCTTACGGGCAATATCCTCGCTAATCATCACGTGAGCCCCATTCCATCCCTTTCCTCATCCACAGTAACTCTTGCTGTTCTCGTCCTGACCTTCTCCTGAGCATCAGTTTGTCTCCAATGGAAAAAAAAAATAAATTCATATCAAGCAGACAAATCCCAAACTTAATTCATGAAGAATTAAAATCTACTTTCTTTGCATGCAGAAGAGACTAGGACCAGTCAGTCTGCTGAGACTATTCAGTTTGCTCACTGACCACAAGCTTGTTATTTTTGTCACTCTCCTTCAACTGCTTGCATGTCATTTGCATTGTTTAAAGTCAAAACAAGATCACCTCAACTTGCAGCTACAGTACTTCTCATTTCATCCATCACCAGTCATGCTGGCATCACAGCTTTGCATGTTATTTTGTCAATGTGCAAGAAGCAGAAGAGAAACCAGCTTACTCTTCCGAAACTCCATTGGCTCCGCAGTGCTGACAGCAGGAAAAACCATCAGTCAAGTGAACAGATATGACTCAGGACAAACAGAATTCCCGGTTCAGGCTCATTTCTGACCATGTAGCTGCACTAGCCCCAGGGATACTGACCAGTGCAACACTGTTCAAGAGCACTGCACCTCCACTAGCTAGAAACCTGCCCATTTCTGGTGCATATCCCTGCCCCGGCAGCGCTTGAACAGTATTAGTCCCTCTTGCGGAGTCCCTCAAAACTTTTCAGGTGCTTGCTTAATACCATTTTGCTTATTTACAATTATTTTCCCTTTCCTTTACCTTCCAAATTCTGTCCTGGTGAGTTCTTTAGCGCTTGACTACAATCTTTGTTCGGGTTACACAAGATCTACTTACGATCAGTGTGGTACGCGCTCATTCAGCCGCCCTAAGACCTAGCACTGACCGCAGAGGAGGAGAAGGCTGCGAGCAAGGTTTTCCTTGGGGCTGTTAAAGACACCATCGACAGCGACCTCCGCTGTTCCCTCAGAGGTTTAGGTCCTTTGAAAGCAGCACCGCTCTTTCAGGCTTCAAACAGAACACAAGATCAGGACATGAATTTCACATTGACATTTTTATTAACGCCAACTGTTTTAAATTTTTTTTTTTTTTTTTTAAACAATAGCACAAAAACGTTTCAGGGAAGCAGTCTGACAGTTAGTCTGATGACCTTCTGAAATACAGTTAAGCCACACCAAATACGAATTCCTGTTAAAGAAAAAAAAGTCTGGAAGTCCAACCTTTGTATTAGAGGGTGTTGTGTCTGGTTAGTAGACCACACTGCTTTGTGAAGTAAATGATGGCACACAGCTTAGACTTCATCATCACGCCAGTCATCACTAATTTAAGGCTTCTGAATCAAATTACCATCAACATCACAGAAAGGAACGAAAAGCTAGTGTTGCTACGGCCATGAGGAGATTGAACAAGCTGGATCTTTTAGACAAGTAACGGTGTCTTGCACAGAAGAGACCTGCCCTAACAGCAGCCAGGAGAACCAGTCACACAGTAGTCATCTCCTCGTTTGCATGCATTTTGAGGGTGCAATTTAGTAAGAAAAAAAAAAAAAAAAATAATCGCATGAATCTTTTTCTCTTATTTAATGTGGCTATGAAAGATGTTTCCTTACAATTCCATTATCTCTAAGAAGGACATCAGCAAGTGGAACCAAGGAGAGAAACCGAAGAGCAACAGAACATTTTTCTTTTTGCTGAGAGGTAACACAAAAGGGAGGGAACCTACTATCCTTGGATTGGGGGGGTGCAGGAACGTCTCCCCAAAACCTTGCACTTCGAATGACGCACAGACTCTATGTTATACCAGCTACCTGCCTTTCCGAGTGACCTGTTCCGCACAACGCTCAGAGGCATTAACCCATTCTTGCCCCAGACTCTCCACAAAATGCCACTGACCTAGAAACCATGGGGTTCCTTTTTTTGGGGAGGGCTGGGGGAGGGTGTAAAAAACAGAACATCTGTCAATAAGTGTCAGGAGGGGGTGTTAAATATTTTAACCACTGACAAGGCTTGAGGAAGTTTCACAGTTTTGTTATGCTCTATTTTATTACTATCATATTTACAGATTTTTCTCTCTCTTTTTTTTTTTTTGCTGAATTGCTGATAATTTTAATAGAATTTCAATCTGGAGTGTGAGCAGGAACCAGTTAACTACATTCATTGTCCAATCCCCATTGGTTTGAGAAAAAGACTCCAAATTCTTGGCATATGAATCAGCTGTTGGGTAGCTCCTCCCTCTCCCCATGAGGCGGCAGCAGGACTGCAGCAGTGGCATGCACAGATTCACACCATGGCTGGTGGGGCCTTGCGCTGCAGAAAATATTGGTGGATGTTCTCGGCGTCTCGCTTCAGCCAAGCTGCATTCAGCAGAATATTTTCACAGCACTGCTGGACAGTGCGTTCTGCCGATGGAGCTGGGTGGCTCTCAAAGAAGGCCTGTATAAAAAGCAGACAACCATCCATAAGGGTATAGACAGGCATAGATAAGATTATATTCTTAAGTCGCCAAATTCCCTAGGTTATACAGAGATGCTTCTGTGAATTATGTTCCTTGTCTGACTGCAGTTTGTGCTATCTGCTCCCACCAACATCACGGACTCTGAAAAATTTGCAAGGTGCTTGCCGAGTTTGCAAGACACGTAACCCCAAGTACAGAGTGAGGACAGCTAAATGCCTCCGTTTCCCAGCTAAAGAAAAGCCATTTCTACGAACTAGCCCAAACGCTGCCTCCTGTCCTGTCTTGTCCTCGCTGCCAGGGACAGCAAGTGGCACTTGAAGAGATTAATTCAGTCTCACTGGGAGGCAACAAACGAGCAGCGAATCAAGTGTGTATTTCTGGATACTTGGAAGAAGACACTAATGGAAGCTTAAGGCCATTTTGCAAAAGCATTTGTCTAGGTATCAGATTTCTTAGCATTCCACCTAGGCCTCTTTCCAAGCTGCATAATGACCTCCAAGCACCAGCAGCACTCAGGAGTTTTGCTGAATATTCTCACATTTCTTCCTCCAGAACCAACGATATTGATCTGCTGCAAATAGCTGAAGAAACTGCACCAGGGGCTGCTGTGACTTTGCACTTTACAAATGGCTAAAGAGTAGAATAAGTTGGCAGAGCTGGGAGTCACCCCATCTTCACATGAGCAGGCGTTTCCCAGTATTTGGCAGCTCACCCCACACCAATGTACACGACAAGGTGACATCGGGACTCAGGCACATTAAAGTACTCCAGCTAAAAGCTAGGTATCTGTCTCAGGAAGTTCTCTTGGAAAGCAGTTATGATTTAGTTATGGATGATGGTTCTGCTAAATGTTTTGGAAAGTGTTCTTTAAGAAAGAAAAATAACTATAGTGAAAGATTTCTCTGTAAAACACTTATGCTACTAAATCTTTTCTAAGAAGAGATCACTACATGATAAAGAAAAAGACAGACAGAGCTCATGGCTCAGCACATCTTTGAAATACAAACAACTCCTGAGCGTTTTCCTAACAGGGAAGTGGTAATCAAGGGGCCATATTTTTAAGTTTCTCCTTCCAAGAAAGAGTCCCTGTAAAAGTGAGGGCAAAGAGTACATAATCAGACCCAGGCATATTTTTAAAACACTACCAAGACCTGCACCTACACTCCCAAGTCAGGGGGGATGCTTGAGTCCGGCAATGAAATCGCAGCACCTTGAGCTCCCAACTTGAAGACAGACTCTCTGCAAACACATCAATCTGCCTTGCCTCCAAGCCTTGCTCTCAGCGCACAGCCCCAGTGACCAGATCAAACTGGGAGCCACGGTATGGAATTTAGCCAATTTCTGCCATGTTAATTCCCCCAGGAGTTTCTGGGTGCTAACGCAGGCAGCCCCAAAGGTGCCGTATCAGTCTGGGGAGGAACAAAGCGCTGGTGTAAGCCTCAGCTTACTATGGAAGTTGTAACAGCTACAGATTTTGCTAGAATTATCTTTAAAGGTTGTCTTCTGGGTTGTCTCAAAACCACTGCCACAAACCATGCTGGATTTTATAGAAAGTTTAAATGAGTGAAGCTAATGAAATAGAAATCACTAGAAGCTGGACGTTACTTTGTGAAAATGCTGATTTAAGACATTTCAAGAAAATAACTCAGCCTAAAGCAGTGCAATTTGGGGACAAGGCAACAGTTAAAAGATGCAGAGCCACAGTTCAACCCCCAAAACCACCTAGGAACTCACAGCTCTTGCATCAGATGCCTACAGTCTAGAGCATGCAATGTTTATCAGTTAATCGCTTCTTTAATTAAAATGTCTTACCTTAACTTCTGCAGCCATTTTATCATTTGCAAATCCATCCACTGTTAGCTGAAGAAAAAAAAACAATATTAACGGAGGGTAAGTATTTAGCATTTCAGATGTAAAAGTTTAGTGTTAGTTGTGTATGTGAACAGGACTTTTCTCACAGCTGCACATACCTTTATTAGTCTGGATATTAAGAATCCACCTTGGTATCGATTATAAAGTTCCTCCCAATTGTCCCTTACAAATTTCCAAGCAGCTTTCCTTCCCTGCTTGCTGCCTCCAGCTACTCCACCGATAACAGATACCGTGTCCTGGGGACGTACCTCTTCCTGAAGATGAAAATGTAGACAAGTATTCAAGACTGTTTCAACACAGCGTGTTGGCTTTATGCATTTCTATGCTGAATCTCTCCATGATAGCTCCCTCCCCCCAAAGTGTAAGATACAACTCAAAGATTTAATCATTAGGACTATTCTAGCCCGTTATGTGCGCACAGTGCTCAATCACCGAGTGCTCTGAACGCACTGGTCACTCACACGAGGTAAGGAAGCGGCAGCTTTGCCTATAACTTACTGAAAGTGCAAAGGTGAGAACTTTTTGAATCAGTTCTGGTTGAGAGATGGCTCCAAGAACTCGTTCAATTCTGTTCTTCTCCTCCTGCATGTCTGCTTGCTTGTGAAGCTTCAAAGCCAAAGTGAGCAATATTAGCGCATGGTATTAAATGCCAACTTCTTACCTAGCACTATTGAACTTGCTGTATACGCCAGAGCTGCTGGATTAGTCTTCAAGCCTAGTAAGTGACAAAGTGAACTTGTTCATGAATCATCCCGCAGCTATCCACATTACGGACCTCATTACAGGTATTTAGCAGGAAGCACCCTTAGTAATAAACTGATCTTCACCACTGTTTATAGAAGGTCAAGTATGACTGTGCCTCCAAGCAATGAAAAATAATCCTAAAATGAGAGATGCAACAATCCACTAGGTGGCAATTTCACACTACACACGGCCCAAGGAACACCACGACCAAGGTCTAGTTGTTCACATTAGCCATAAAACATTGGACTGAGCCTGCGTGCAGACAAAACTACATCTTATAGGGACTTACAGGGTGGAATATTTAGCTTTTCTTGCATAAGCTGGCAGTGCTAACAACAGAGCGTGCACTACTCACCTTCAGCATAGTGTCTAAAGTAGTACTATCTCCATGCTTCAAAATAGTTACATATACCTAAGATAGAGCATAAACAAGGAAAGTCCTTCAAAATCTACACTTTTAGAAATGCAACAATCAATTTCTACACCTTTGGGTTAGATTTCAGACAAGTGAATAGATCTGGACGATACCAGCACTGATCCCTTCTATGTTTCAAGACTGGATTTTAAAGATGCATCAACTCCTTTACCTCTTCCTCAATTTCATCATAATTTGGGCAATTTCAACCACAGTAAGACACCAGAAGTCTTTGTACCCCGCAACACCTAGCTAGTAAGTACTTCACGTAGCCTTTGTGCTCTGCAGGGCCAAGCTGAGACCTGCAGAGCTCTTCCACGATCCCTGAGGTTTACCACAGTGTTTTAAACCTGGGGGATGAAGGTTGGTGATGGATGGATGGATGTAAATGAGGAGTCGGCTCAGGTTCAGCACTTGAATAGTCTTCAAAACCCAAAAAGCAATAAAATCCAGAGACCAGAGCTGTACTGTGGCAGTCAATGTGGGTACAGCTGAGCTTATTAATTACGACTAAGTACTGGCCATGACTGATGAGGCTTACTTGATTCAAGAAACACAGGGGTGTTTGTACCATGTTCCCCAGGATCATTTTCTTCAAAACTGGACTTATCCAAGCTCCCACCACCTCTGCCAAAACCAGTTGTTTTCAACACTTGACACTGGTTTCCTCTAGCCTGCCTATTCTTGGAAATACAAGAGTTCAGTCCACACAGTGCTATGGGCGTGGGGACGGCCTTTGGGGAACCAAGATGTACAATAACCTACAGGACTCCTCAGATCAGCTGACAGCACATGTTTTCCTTCCACATGGTCCTTAAATCGGCGTCGGGCTTCTTCTAATGTTGCCTTGTGCCCAGCTTTTCCTAGTTTGCCCAAGACCAGACCTCTCAGAAGGGCATCTAGATGACCTGGTGAGTGAGTAATAGAAAAAAAAAAAAAAATTATTTGGAGACACCATTCAGCAATTAAATTGTGTTCTTCCACCCAGAGTGCTCAGGGCAGAGCTGTATAACAATCCTTCCGCGTGCCTGAGGATATCTAAAGAAACTAAGCCTTTTCTTACTATCCTTGGTGCCAACGGGAGTATATATTGATTTTTTTACAGCAAGAGGCTCAGGAGAAGATTATTCTGGCCCAAATGCAATGGGATAGGCCTGTAACCCGAGATAAGTCAGTAATATTAGCCATTTGCATCTACAACAGGACTGACTAGGACAAGTAAACATGCATGTGCATGGCTTTCCATCCTGGTAGTCCAATAGGTTTCATGCACTCCAACAGATGCAAAGGTAGAGCAAAGAACTTTTATCAGTCAGTGACCAGGCAGGGAAAAGTTTTACCATTTAAAGCTTGCGCCTGATAACAGAGGGTTGTTTTGGCATTTTGCGTTTGTCTGTCTGGTTTTAAGTATAAAAATACCCCCAAATGCCTACTTCAGACTCCTCTTCCTCCCTTCTCTCCCCTTTCCTAAAACCTTGATGGCTTATTTACACATGGGTTTTCCAAACCACTGTCGGATTTCACAGCATAAGTTTCCTACCCTCTCCAGGTTTGGGGTCCCATCCCAGTCTCTCCCCTATTGGTGAAAAGACATCTTTCACGAACACCTGGATTTCCTCATAGAAGTCTGTGTGGGACAAGAGAGTTGAGAGGATCCCCAGGTTACAGCTGAGGTCGCTCCACACAGTATAATTGGGCTCATTCACAAAAGCTTCCATGACTTTTAGAACCTCTACAGTGCTAATGATTCCAGCTCGGGCCTGGGAGAGGAAAAGACACAGATTAGTCTTACTTCCAACAAGAATTAAGACGTTTAATAGCTCATCGCATTATTTTTACAGTTGTCCCTGTTCAGTTTGCACAGCCTGCACATAAACTCTATTTCTTCTGTCGTGGGGCTCTGCCAGGTGAGTTAACACTAGTCAAAGCACCTTAGCTGTCTGCCCACAATGCTTTTTATACACAGGTCAGCACTTTCCAAGGAGACAGCTACATAATTATAAGCACATTTTGCAAACAAGAAACAGCCAAGGGGATTAAGTGACTTAACAAAATTGCAGTAATGCTGGCAAGAAAAAAGCAAGCCCCCAGAGTTATTCTCAGCCAGATACTACACCCACCAAAATCTTATTTTAACTAAAAACTGTAAAAATTTCGGGATTTAATTTTTGCTCTTCATTAAACTGAGAGTGTAAAACTGCAGAAGTAATTTTTGCTTCCTGCTTCCCATGAATCAGTAGAAGTACTACCGCCTTTCCACCTCTGCCAGGCAAGTTTTGCATTAACTGCTTCATGGCGCCACGAACACACTTCTACGCTTAGTGCAGCTGGTAATACCCACAGTAGGTATCTCCAGCCAGATTGCTCAGACTTTTGTTAATCTGGAACCAGCCCGGTAATTTATAGTACCGGAAAAGAGGTGAAGATCAATTTTATTGTCTATGCTATATTCACCTATGATAACAACATGATTAAAACTGAAACCAAAATAGGAGTCTAACGCAATGTTCCTACGTGTATTATTTGCTCAATTTTTTTATCCCATTAGTCTTGCAATACTTGGGAAACGACTCGGGCTATGGTTTCAAACCCCTTCAACTAAGCCGTGACAAGAGTTACAAGCTTTGAAGCCAGAGAGGCAAGGTATCAAACCCACATTTTAAAAAGTTTCCATATACTTGCTGACTAGCAAGAATAAGAAAGTGCAATCTGAAACACAGAGCACAGTAACTAAATGTTCAGAGCTAGCAACACCTGCTTTGGGGGTAATCCCTTGCTTTGAACGGTAAGAATCCCCAACAGCCACGTCCTCCAGTGAAGGATGGTTTTAACAGCCCAACTGAGTAAAGCACATGGTGCTGATAGCATTTGATAAAGTCATTGGGGGGGGTGTCATTAAAATATCCTTATTTGATTGAGTTAAAAGAAAGCAAAACACTTAATTTTGTAAAGTTTGTAATACACCCCCCTACAGAGAACATTACAACAGGAGTTCTAGACAGACCGCTTCCATAGGGTTTAAGTCTTCTAATATGTTAGAATTTGTCAAGCTAATTAATAGCTAGATGTATGCAGTAATCCCAAAGACACTTTGCCTCCAGAAACTGAGACTGACTCTTCGGACACCGACTTCTGCAGTTACTGTAGCTCTCATTATTAGACAGAATAGCAAAGGGTTGCTTACCAGAGAGAAAAGATCATTCTGCAGGCCAAGCCTGTCCACAGGGGGTAGGGAGAGGTCTTTGATCGCTGGTATTAAACTCTCCAGCATGTCAAGGCTATACTGAGTACGGTAAAACCCTACTGTTCCAAGGTTTAACTGAAATGTACCAAAAGAGTAAAAAATTAAAAGTAAGGAACAAATAAGGAAGTGCTTTTTTATTTTTGAACCACTAGAAATTTCTCAAAGCATCACAGCTCAGAGAAGTCAGACATGATCATTTAAATAAAAAGAAAAATCAAATCATAAGTAAGGGAGAAACACTTAAGATTTCAGAGAAGAAATGCTCACTAAGAAGTACAGAAGATGCAAGAGAGCTGACAAAGAATCAGAGGCCAGAGCTAAAACTAGGAGAAAAGAGAAGCTTCTCTTGTAGGGGTAACTCCTAAGTGCAGTAAGGGTAGTCATGCACAGAGAAGATAAAATGCAGGAGACTGCAGGCGCTAGAATCTTAATTTTTGTAACCTCTCTCCCACAACCTGCTCCATTCAGTTCTGACAGAGAGAACCTTTTTCTTAAGAAAGGAGAGCAAGCACCGCTGCCCGGTGTAAAAGCGAGTCATGCTCAATAAGCTTGATGAATTACACTGGCTACACGCTGCTACCCACTAGCGTTTTAGTGTAGATGGTCAAATATTGCAGGTGGTTGAACAACAGTACCTGGCATAAACCAAAAACATTGCTGAGCTCATCAGGAGGTCGCCCCCTTTGCTGCTGCTATGATTTTGATCAGTCCAATTGCCAGTTCCTGAGGACTAGGGTGCTAACTAAAGACCCCACAGACTAACAACCTTTGCAGCCAGCAGTCCCAAAAATTCATCTTGGCTTGAGCTGGACTGTTGCCTTCTCAGGCAGAAATATCAAACTTTACCCTCATTTAGACAGGGCATTTTCAGAGCTGTTCATTCATTTCATGCCCCTCTCTATTACCAGGGAGGACCCAGACAGATGCGATGATTCAAGAGAGCTGACAGCTGGAATGCCCATGTTAGTTAAATAGGAAGATTTGATTAATATAAAAAATAAAGAGACTAACCCTTAACATTATTTTAGGGAGTGACCTCTCAGAGTACAGCTCCAGCTTAGGAACAATTACCCTTCGACCTCAGTAGTTCATACAGCAGTAGTCCCAGCCAGCTGCTGTCTTTCAATTTTTAAATTCACAGTTTGACTGCTGTCTGCAGGAGGCCGCAACAGTGAATTTTTTCACTTGCAGATTTGTACTTGTCTGGCAATAGCCTGTAGAAAACCTTCACACTAATGAAAGATAAACAGGACTATTTTTGCTCAGGACGGACTTTAACTAAACTGTGGTTGCCATGGGATACGAAAAAAGCCACCCCATTTCAACTCAAAAGCTGCCTCTAATTGCACACTGTTTTTCCAGGCTCGGACTCCTAAAAGGTTCAAGTTTACATTGTCTAGACTACTCTTGGCAGGCAAAGGACTACACTAAGCAAGCATTATAGAGAGGAGCCAATATTCAATAGCAGCACAGAAAGGCCCCTCCATAAGAGATACAAGATTGCAAGAGGGAGGGAAGGAAAAAAAAAAAAAAAAAAAGAGGGAAATGAAATGCAAGGGAAAATTAAAGTGACAATAAAAAAAACTTATTCCCAGTAACATGTTCTCCCTTGTGACAACTCACCTTCACCCACTGGTCTGGTTTGACATCTTTCAAAACCAAGGTGAGCTCTGGTTTGTCCATCAGTATTTGCATTTTGGCACAGGTGGGGTCGTCACTCGTACAAATACTTATGGGGACCATCCACATGGGGAAATCCTCCCCTGAAAGAAGAAACAATAAAAAGGAAGGCCTAAGGAAAAAAAAGTATGCACACAACACTGCGAAAATCTGCCTGATGTTCAAACAAGTTTCAGCAGCAGTTTAAGCAAGGCTACTTGAATTTAAATCTAAAAAGGCACAAATCTGAAGGAAAATGGCACTTTTAGAGTTAAAAATCCAAGAATCTCTAACTCACCTTTCAAGCTAAACATTTTAATTTCCATAAGCACGAAAAACAGGTGGAATCTGTGTTTTAAGACAGAGTTGGCTTCCATATGAGGCATTTTTATTTCAGCACTACTCTAAAACCAGCAGCTTACAGAGCTCCTCAGATGGCAGCACTGGCCTTAAACTGGACATCAGAAGAGAAGCAGCTCGGAATGAAAACTGAACCAAAGACTGCAGATGAATGCTGTTCTCCATGTGAGAAGGACATGGCAACCACATGTGTGAGAGGATTTGACCTTAGATTTTCTAAGGTTTTAACAAATACTTGAACACCTGGATCCACACAGAGCACCTGCCTGCTCTGCAGCGCAGCTGTTTCATCTCTCAAAATCGCTGCCACTGCATGAAAAGCATTGAACACTCCACTCCTGCTCTTAGCACCCATCTTACCAGTATATGGTCCACTGGCACAGAATTTCTTCTGGACTAACTTCAACACTTTGTCATCTTCTTGCTGAGGAAAAAAAAAAAAAAAGAAAAGAAAAGAAACAGGGGGGGGAGAAAGGAATTATCAGAACATCTAATCTCAGCTTCTGTGCATCACATGAATATGTGCCCTCTGTTAAATAGAGTAACTTGTATTCTCCTCCAGAAAAAGGAGCTACCTCACAGACCATTCCAATGCATTAATCACTGTTACTGTTAAAACATACGTGCCCTACTTCTCATTTGAATTTGTTGTCTGACTTCAGCTTCCAGCCAGTAATCCTCACTCACCCTGCAACCTTGTAGAATAAGCATAATTAAACGGGAGCGAGAAGCAGAACGTGTAGCAAGAGGAGCTAAAGCAGACATTCCCTCCCCCCAACACACATTTCACACACAAAGAGCCATCGGGCTATGTCAGCAAACTCCAGGCACATGATCAAGAGCGTCCGTGGAATAACTCTGTATGGCTTTGCACTAGGTTCCTCAAGTGGGCTGCACTTCCCTCCCTTCAGAAACAGAACTGTCGCTACATAAAGCAACCCACTGTACTGCCTCCTGATCAAAGACAAATTTTTAAATACTTGGATACTGCTAAATTTGATCCTAAAATGCAGTTAAAGGCAGAACTTTTGAGCTGAAGTGCTGAAAAACGCACAGTTAGATTTACCTGTTCAGCTTCCACATAAATGAGCGGAAATCCCATCTGTTTGGTCCATGTGTTCATCACAGCAGCAATAGGTTTACCACTAGCTTTTTCCAGGCTTTCCCAGAGGTCCTCTGCAGAAGAAAAGTCTGATAAGGACTCCCAGAGTCTTGACATGTCAGACGCTATTAAGGACGCTGTATGGGCACTGGAGGGTGGGAGGCTTTATTATTACTCCAGTTTGCCCTTCATGATTTGGGTCACGTTTTTATCGAATTGTAACAGACAATAGGCAAGAAAAAGGAAATTGTTTAAACCACTCATGGGGGAGAGAGGGGAGAAGAAAGCTTCTTGCTACTAAAAAAAGGCAATCAATACACACTGTGATAAAGTATAATAAAAACGAGCATTAAATATTGAAAATGGTAAATAGAAGAATCTCTTCCTTAAGTTTTTCATATATTATGCCAGAAGAGCTGACCAAACGTGGGCTGGTTTTGGCTGATAGAGCACGATGTTCCACTTCTACATTTATGCCTGATACACAGAAAGGTTTAAGCAAAGAAAGCGCTATGAGAATTAGACAAGACTTTGAACTGTTTAATCACTCACGCAATCAATACTGCAAAAGGAAGTTTGCAAAAGGCTTACGTGGCAAATTAACATACTCTGTTTCTAAATTAGATTACTAGGCAGACATGGTTATCAACGGTAAATGCAGCCCTTTCAGACTGCCTCAGCCGCACACTCCTGAGACAGAGAACCCCTAGAGGATGCTGAGTTCTGGCTGTGCAGGGGACACGTATGAAACTGGAAACAAGCCAATTATTTCCTTGCCTTTCAGTTATCTCAGGTGGAAAAAACCAGCTGTTTAAGAATCCATCACATTAGCACTAAAAATTTTGTCCCCAGAAATCACTTTTCTTAAGCATCTAATAACCACCAGTTACCTGTAGCGGCATTCTTCTGCTGGAACTTCGTTAAATATAAATTCATTCCTTTCCGGAAGTCCTGGGAACATACAATTGAATATGTAATGGCACCAGAACGGAGGTCCTTTCTCCGCACTGCATTTATACTCAAGAATCAGGCAAGGAATCTTACGCTCAGTATGTACATCTGTAGCTCCTTCCATATTTTCCCGCTATCTTATTTCTCCTAGGTAAGTTCAAATAGAGCCCAAATACAAATTGGAGAAAAGTTTTCAAAATACAGAATACACAGTATTTTTTAAAACGGTATTTTTAACTGTAAAAAGGTTTGACGGTCTATATTTGGCTTTTTAACAACAATCTTTTTACCTCGTCACCAATGTAGTCATGTAGCATTCGGATTACAGATGCTCCCTTGCTGTAGGAAATAGCATCGAATATTTCATCTACTTCGGATGGATGGCCAACACTAACCTGTGGTAAAGAGGATAATTAACAGTGAGAACAATTCTAACCACCATAAGATTTTGATTTTGCTTGTTCTAGCATTTAAGGGACTGACTTTTCTCACTGAAGGAAGCGCATGCATATCCATCACTAAATTGTCTTAGTAGAATCTCTGTACCCAGTCACTTAATCTTATTCACATATGACTGGGTTAGGATCAGTTTATAGGTTAAACATACTTTGACCTAGGTTTTAGTATTTAATCAAATTGACTTGGGTATCTTGCTTCAATCCTTTGGTTCAATACTTAACCAAGAGCGAGAAAAAAAAAACCAAACAGTGGAAGTTGTTTAATTCTGGGACAGCGAACAATACCTGCTCAGGAAATGCACTCCGTGAGTAAGTCACGCTAAAATGACCTGTTGTACAAAGCAAGGTCATCTCCCAACATCTGCTACATCAAACATTTCCTAAGCCATCTGAAAACTTGTCCACAGCCATCTCCAGGAATTACAAGGGAGTCTTCTTTTAGCACAGCTCCCAGTTTTGCTCTAATTGAGCTCGCTGCTGCTGCCTTCTCTTCATCACCGAACCACCGCCGTGTTTCCAAAGCAGCAAGCCCAGCTAGAGCCTACTTATTTCAAGACTGTCTGCATCACACTCGCAGTTCTGGGAACACAACGCAGAAACACACAAGGTGGCCTCAGCTGGAAACCAGTACAAGCCCAGCACAGTTTGGTAGCTTGGGCTCTGGGCTATACCGCGCTTTGCTTTACATTGTTGAGCACTGGAGTAAGTCAGGAGCTACTTCACCATGCTCAAGGGGCAGAAAACTACGGCTTTGATCAGAAACCAGACCACAACACAAATAACAACGAGTTTTGATCACAACTTTGCCATCTCCAGTCAGCAAAGCAGAAAAACTCCAGAAGAAGCCATCTTCAGACCCTCAGACCTCACTTCCAAAATACTAATTCAAGCAGAGGAAAATCCACAAAGTGTAAACGCAACCTTAGATTTTCCTTTGCATTGTGAATGTCTGCAAAGTTCCCTTTTTTCTTCAGAGGGAAAAAAAAATCTGACACACAACTGACAGAAAAAACGGGAAACAATCGATAGCGAAGACAGAACTTACTTCAATAGGGTGACTGTTGTCTAAAGCATCAAGCTCTTGAGCTCGTGTGTAATCAGCAGAAACAAACTGAGTCCAGATATCGTACTCTGGGAAACAGTGATCTACGCATAGGTACTCAATCCAGGAGGCAAATCCTTCATTCAGCCAGAGATGGGTCCACCATTCCTGGGAAGATGAGAAGGCAGAATAAAGAACAAAATTCCAAGGTTCCTTTCATCAACGAGAAGTTTGCAGCAAAGATAAGCTGTTAAGGGCCTAGTTCAGTACAGATCAGGGAAACAGGTAACACTTGCAAGCACAAATGCTTATCTATAAAGAAGTCATCATCCCAAGAAGAGTAATCAGCACCCTATAACTGTCTTAAATTTTAGAAACTCTGCATGGGAACTGTACCAGGTACAAATGAAATTCCAGGAGACTAGACTAGAGGTCAGAGCAGAGCCACTGAGGGAACAGCCGTGAATGTCACCTAGCTTAGGGAGAAGAGTCAGTGACATGCAAGGCCGTGGTTCAGTACAGCAGCAGAACTGTGGGCAATGACAGTGTCTTTTCCAAACTGAAGATCAGGAGCTGCTGAAGAGCAATTGTGTTTGGTTGTGGGTTTGGTTTTTTGCTAAATATGCTTACATAAAGGAGAAAACCTGGAATCCGAGAAAGCGCTCTAGACTACAGAAACCTGAAATCTAGTAAACAGTTAAAAGTTCTTTCTCACCACCCAAAGGTGGGCTTTGTTTTTTTAAGACACGACTGTTACCCTGACATTTTAAAACTCTTCCTTTCATTTCTAATATTTAACTGAAGTAGGCAAGATAAGGAAACAAGGTACGGATACTGAGGAAGAAAACACCCTTTTCCATGACTGCACTTTCCAACCATGCTCTAAATGTAAGTGGGGGTGCTCACGCAGACGAGCATGGCTGGGATGATATGGGCCCTTAAGTAAAAGAAACTGGACAGGATGTCGAATCAGTCCAGTAAGCTGTTCTACAAAGAAAACTACAGCTTCTACTATGAATGAAACATTTACCCCGGGAGGGTGGAATTTCAACAAGGAAAGCTGTTACTGAAACCCTACACTGATAAGCCCTGCTTTATTTTTAGAGTGGAGACTATCCAATTTTCTTTTACATTTCTGATCGCATCTGTTTCTCAAAACACACCGATTGGTGCCAAAGGATTAATGCAACTGCAAAACAGATTCTTGGGCAATTAGGTTGGACTTTTAAATCTTTTCACCTCCCTGTTTTTCTCTCTTATCCCACGGGCAACCTAATTGCTCACGAATCTATTTCTTCCCCTGGAAGTATCCTGATTTCATTTATCTTTGCTATAGAAGAACCCGCATACTGTGCTGGCTGGTAGGATCTGGTACTGGCAAACCAAACCAGTGACACTACTGAGGCTTTCTGCTGTGCTGTAAGCACCTCAGATTATAGAGGAGAAAAAGCTGGCTTTCTGGAAATTGAGAAGTAACACTGGAATGTCTTTGCATATTTCACAGTTGCATTGGAGAAATAAAATAATAACCAAAGAGAAAAAATTCTTAAAGAAAATTTTTGGAAGACCTAGAACTTCAAAAGGAAAACAAAAAGCTAATTCAATATAAATGTTAGAAATTCTTGTAAATGATACTTTCTCAAGCTTACTGCCACAGTTCTCAATGGTCGGAAGGACCACAAATGGTTCGTGGGTCACTAACAGTCCCCAAGGCACTTGCTGGCAGCCTACAGTCTTGTCTACTCACAGGATGCTGGCTCTCCTTGCTTCCAGCTGCTCGACTGTACTACAAGCTAAAAATATATTACTTTAATATTACTTTTCCATTTAAACATTGTGTTGCGCTCCTACCTGTGCTACCACAAACAGGAATGGACACAGCTGACTAGATTTTAAGAGGCACAGCACTGTGGAAAAATTTGAGAACCTCTGCTTAGTGTTGTAATTAGTATTCACACCAGGGTTTTTCCTCCATTCACTCACACTTCATTTAGGCAGCCTAAAAGCCAGAACAACGCAGATTTGGGGCTCCACAAGCCACGCTCTTTTTGCCAAACACACTGGTTTCTTACAATACAAGAAACTTCCTAACCTGTGAAATATTTGGATCCAAGCATCTGTTTGCAGGGTTTTGGGAGAAGGAATGTCAGCTCTAATTAACAGAGTAAGCTGAAGCCATTTGTTAACAGCAGAAGCTCCGACAGATACAGGTTTCAGTTTTTAGCACTAAATGGAATTTATTTACAGATTTCAGGCTTGCTGCCTCAGATATGCTTTTATTCCCACCAAAATCACTTAAGCATCAACCCGTTCAGACAGTTGGCTCCCATATATCTCCCAAGCAGTTCATATGAGTTACTGCTGAGCAACTTTTCAGCTACTGGACTAGGACAATTTGCAGTGCTGAGCTGGTACTGATAGGCCTGCTTGGTAGGAAAGCGTGATGAGCAAGTCATGCCTACCTGAAAGGAAAACCGTAGATTATTGCTTCTAGGCAATCTGACTAGCCAAAATAATGGCCATGGAACGCCTGCTCAACTCTAGCTAGGACTGTATTCAAACAACTGAACATTACATCACATAGAAAAGATCTAGGAATACGTCTACAGAACACACTAGCAAAGAAGAAAGTGGTAATAAAGCACTACTTAAACATTTAATTTTTTATTTTAAAGATAGCATGCCTGCTATTAAGGGGCACTTGAACACACACAGTACGAAGCACACGTCAAAGAGAACTAGAAGAACTTGTAACTGTTAGATACCATGGTCACAAGGTTTCCAAACCACTGATGAGCGAGTTCATGTCCCACAACCAGAGCAACCCACTGGCGAGATGAAGAACAGGAATTTTTGGGGTCAATGAGCAATGCAGTCTCCCTGTATTTAAGAGAGAAAGAGAACTGAACAGAGTGATATGTGCCTAGGGAAAAAACACAATCAAGAGTAGCTTAAATTACCTAAGCAAGCTAAAAAGCGATCAGTACAACTGAAGAAAACCAAAAGCTATTTCAGTTGAGACATTAAATTATTTTGGTAAGTTCCACAGCTGTTGGAATGCTTTGGAGCAATAATTCCTTATGGCATGCAAGAAGGCAAGTGCAAAAACCCAGGCAGGAACGAGAAAGTTTTTCCTTTATTTATAAAACAGCTCACCTACCTAACCTAGGAACCTTAACTGTAACTCCCTTTGCGCTGCGTGACGTATGCACAGCAAGTCTTCTCTGCCTCCCTCAGCCCCAAAGGAATTCCAGCTCTTCCAAGCGCACAACCAGCCGTGTTCCACTCGCCACTGCAGATGCACAAGATTCTCCACGCAGGGCACACGTGCACACACCCGCACAGACACCAGTGCTGCCTAGGGTCAGGCACACAACCTTCCGCTACGAACACCCCTGTCGTGGTCAGGACTTAGTGGGTCAGCCAGAAAGGATTTCTGGACTGCTGCAACTCAGAGGGGAAAAACGTGCATCTCAAAACATAGATGGTGCCTGCAGATTATGCCAACCTTCTGTCCCCAAAGGGATAAAGCGAGCGTGCCAAACTGAGCATAAGGGGGGGAAAAATTAACAGCACCATTAAGAAAGGCTTCCAAAAATTCTACTCATCCAGGACAAATATTTTTTTTTTCCCCCCCACAGGGAATAAAATATCAGATTTCATCCGAATTGCAATAAGCAGACAAGTAGATTTTAAACCTGGGCTCAAATTTCCATTTCAATTTTAAGGCCAAATTAAAAGTTTAGCAGAAGAAATTCAAACTATTTCAGGATTTAAAGTCCAAAGCTTACAAGACCAATGTTCTATAAAATGAAGGAAAATTGTTCCAACAATGAGCACAGATAACGTAATAATATCAAGCAAAAGTACAAAAGCTTGATCAGATGAACAAAAAAAAAAACTGAAAAGAAAGGCAAGTTATTATTTTTGATTTACTCATATCCACATGGTTACACTGTGGTTGCTAAATTTACCAACTTGCCTACAAGACAAAATAAGAAACTCTTCCAGCTGTGTCAGTGAGTACGTAACTTTTGTGGGGAAAAAAGCAGCCAAGAAAGTTCTCTTGTAGAACAGGCAGTGCTGCCAGACACTCAAAAATCTCACACCCTTGGACAGTAGTTGTAATGGCTCATTCTGGCCTTCCTAAGATTTGTACAAGAATGCACGCTGCTGCAGAAGTTAAAATTATCCAAACCGAAGCAAGAGGTGAAGGTATTTACTCAGTCTTATTTGGGATGATACCCAAGAATTACAGCTCCCTAAAACTAATCCAATTATTTCCAAGAATTAGTGAACAAAGAGGGGGAAAGACAGTATTTTAACAGCATACCTATAAGTAACAAGGCCCCAGTTCTCCATGGCACCTTTATAAAATAAATACAAAGGTTTATTGATATTGATACACACCTCTTCCTAAATGTTTAAAATTCAAATAAAATACAGTTCATCAATAAAGTGAGTTACTTTACCAGCAGCAAAGTCTGCAATAGCTATGAGATCAATTTTAGGAAGAGGGTAAGGAACATTGAAGTAGTCCTTATAAAAAGGCAGAGTTTTAGCAGCAACCTGTAAGAAACAAGAGGGAGAAATGTTAACTTGGAACAACCAGTAAAACCTGAACGTTTATGACTGAAAGTAGCCCAAGAAAGCGGCATACACAAGATTTCTTCCAGAAGCCCCATTTCCAGCTTCTAGAGCACAATGGTTTGGAAGATTCCCATGGCTTTTTTCTTCCGGGCTGCAGCCTACCCTTCAGTACCTCTCATCATCTTTGGACAAAACTCTACATCACCAGATCAGAACTGAATTAAACCGTATGTTTTCATCACTGTAGACATTAGTTTGTCCACAACTGAAATTCTGTTTAATACCAAGCCCAGTCTCTCCGAGCCATTAAAGGAAAAACACACCCTCATGAGGTGACTGAGCAGAGGAGAGCGCTCTGTCCAGCCTGCCGGAGATCGCTACAGCGATAACGAAGTCACCCTGAGCGCATTTACCTCTAATGCAAACTTTCCTTGTTCCGCTTTGCCAACAGGAGTGTAAACACGCACTAAGACGCCGTCAAGGGACCTGGCCTCTACGAAGTCATATTCTCCCACCACAAATGCTACAAGATACGTCGACATTACAGGGGTGCGAGCAAACTTCACTTCCACCAGATTTTCATCATCTGGGTACGGCTTCCGGTCAATGACATTCTTTCAACATGAAAGGGAATCAGTTAATTTTATGGAAGTGAAACTGGATTACACAATACATTTGACTAACTATTCCAACACTATGAGTCACACATTTAAAATGAAAGGACGACTTCTACGATTTTAACATACAGACCACAACGTAGTTCCCCTCCTAACTAGAAACACCTCATCACGTACGGAGATGTACTTTTAGAATATATACATTATATTCCACTACTGAAAGGGCAGCTGAACACACCAGCTCTCAGCTGCTGTCCTCCAAAGAGAATATTACCCACATCCCAATAAGGCACCAGGCTTTCACTTTAAATTCTGAAATAGAAACCATAACCATGTGGTCAGTGGGCAAGGCGAGACTTTACAGGTAACTATGAAAGTTAGCTATGGGAAGAAAAAAAAGTCTATTTTTAAATGGACTTGCTCTTCTCCAGCAACATCTTCTAGAAATATTTGCACCATATTTAGAGGAACAACCTGGAAATACCCACTTGTATTTGTGACAGAGGTACTTCTACTCACACATTGTACCCAGTTCTGGTCAAAAATTCTCTAGGGCAGAAAACACACTTATTTATCTCAAGTACTATGTCTGCTCATGTAGCCGTAGCAGCTATATAAACACGCAAAGGCGCTTTTTTTTTTCCCCAGTCACTTTTAATCAAGCAGCACGTGGCATGACATACACTAAGACTTTTTTTTTTTTTTTTTTTTTTTTTTTTAAACACACACCACTGTGGTTTGTGCAACCTGTTTAGGTTTTGTGCTAGCATCTGACATCACAACATAATCTTCTGAAAAGTTCTCTCAATTTAGAGCTGCTTAGTAATAGCTAGCAATTCCTAATTCTGTCTGTTACCAAGACACACTATTAACTATCAAATAATCACCTGGCATTACTACAGTCTTATTTAAAACACTGTTTACTTGCCCATCAGGAACTTACCATATTTGACAAAGCTACTCTGTCTTTAGGAACCACCAAAGAAATATCAAATGTCGCCTTAATAGCAGGCTCATCCCAGCAAGGGAAAGCTCTGCGAGCATCAGTAGCCTGAAGGAAATAAGAGCATTAAACAAATTAATCACAAGAGACTGTGGAAATAAAACACATAGAAAAATTCAGCATATTTTACAGGCAAGAAGTTAGGTGAATGATGGCTAATCATCGGTAGAGAGTCTCCTCACTGACATTCTTGACCTCTGCATTACAGCATTTTATTCCTACTGTGATAACTTATTTCACTCTTGTTTTTTTTTAAAAAAAAAAAAAAAAAGCAGCTGAAAAGCACTCTGTGCTCTGATGGAATTCTACAGTCTGAGCAAAATTTAGCAGAGTCATGACAAGAGCAAAGCTCAGTCATGTGAAAGCACAGAGGGCGCCCAGGCGTTCACAGACCGTACACACAAGACCACCTATTTATACTCTGTCAGTAGACTGCACCCAAGAAACATTCTATTTGTACGAGGTAAGCACTCCATGGTTTTATGTAACCAGGCAGATAACTATGAAATTACACTATGGTATAAAATTCTGTCATTATGTCCAGGGTTTACATAATACTTGAGGCAGTATCTGGCTCGGATTTTGGATGTCATTAAGATACTGAGATAAAGGCAGAATGTCCTATTAAAAAAAAATACTTCAAAAAGGAAAGTTATACAGAGATATTTGACCACATCTAAATAAATAGCTGTTCTTAAACATTGCAGGAATTGTATATACACGATGTATTGCACATCAGCATGATCCTTGGCTGGGGAATTTGCCAGATCCAGAATTTACTGACCTTGAAGTCGCAATATAAAGGCTGCTTTTAGTATTACCCATCCACACTAAGAGCAAGCAGCAAATAAATATAGATTTTTGGAATTTACCCAGAGGGTATAGCTAAAGCTAGAAAATTGTGTCTTTGCTTCTTCTAAGCATAAATCCTATGTTAAGAAAGACATTCCCTGAAAACAAAAATATAGCCCATACCTCAAACTGCGTGACAGCAGCATAGCGTGTGTCTCCAGTAGGGGTGGTATATTTACTTCGGTAAAAACCTTTCATTTTATCATTCAGCTCCCCTACAAAGTCTATCTTTAGCGTCCCTGTCCCTGTAACAGAAACAGATGGGGCATTGTTATTTGCATATGCCAAACAGAACTTTTATTTGGTCTGGACCTTCAGGCCAGGCTACTCAGCTGGCCCACTGCCCTTCTGAGATAAGATGTCCCTTCAACTCATCTCCACCCAACACTTTTTTTGCCAGCCTCCCTCAAACCCTTCACTCTCCTTACGTAAAATAAGCTCCAGCAGAGCAACGCCGGCAGAGGCAGGCTCACCACAGCGTTGTAGCACTTGATCGGCAAAGGCTGCTGCAGTATTCATTCTTGTCTTCTAAACACAATGCAGTAACCAAGAGAGACCTACCTTAAACCATGTGAGAAGTCCGATCCTACAATCCTTACCTCTGAGTAAAGTTTGCAAAAATATAGGACAGCTACTAAGTAATAATAGCATCCTATGAAATCTACTACAAAAGCCAAGATGGAGCACTGGCTGCATTCAAGCTTGTAAGTCAATTAGTCTCAGGATTTATTCTGCCCTTGATGTCTCAGCGCAAAAGGGGAAACCTGATCTCGACCAGAGAGGCAGCATGCCAATATCCCACAGAACGGAACACTACAGTTTTACCACCCTGGAATCTTTATATTTGTATTTGTCAAGATGAAATAAAACTGTGTTATTCAAACTGAGGAGCTGAGTTTCAACTGACAAACTCCTCAGAGCAAAAAACCGTAGCCATTTCAAAAGAATTAGTGCATTCACGCCTAGGAAAATACTGCAGTAATTCAGATGAGCTCATTCTCGGTAAGAGGAAAACAGATCATCAGTATCTAACACAAATAGCTTCTGAGCCTAACTCCCAATACCAGGCAAATAATTAGAGTCACCTCAGGTGCTGGAAGCAAACATCACCATTAGTGAAACCGCATTTTCAATTCCAGAGGCTCACAAAGTGACTTGCAGTGGACAGACTCCCTAGGGAGCACTACAATCACAGTCAAACCTCAGGGGAGACAGAGCTGTCCTACTCCAGCTTTTTCAAGTGCAAACATCTTAAACACACAGTTGAAGCAAGCAGAAAGCATGAAAATAGCTCTTACCTTTCTGAAGAGTACTGGGAAAGGAGAGAGTAACCTTTTCATCCTCATTTTGATAGTTGAACCCTGTGGCATGTACCTCTGAAACAGAAAAACAGACTACTTTGTTCCAAATGAGCCCCAGGGATGTTTTCGTAACTGATGAACATTTAAAATTAACTGAACCAACTGAATCCAACACCACGCTGTAGTTACCGAACAAATCAGCGAAGACTTTGAGTAATCCAGAATGATACAAAGGCAAGCAACCAAAGAAACGCCCCCCACTGCCAGAATTCCATGTTGTATTACCTTGCTTCAGACAAATAAATCTACCACATTTACCCCAGACTATACAGCCACAGACTGAAAGCACCACTGCCACGCTCCTTCTGCCCCTGCCACACAGCCCGTCCATCAGCACCGTGCTCATGCCATGGCAGGGAAGTCTTCTGCTGTGCCCAGTAATGAAAGCTGTACCGTCAAACCGTAAGCTTGCAGTACGAACAGCATCCTGCACACCACCACGAATCAGCATCCTGCACACCACTGGTGTGCAATGCTGGTAACAACTACTCCAATCCTGACAAATGGTAAAATACCCCACAAAACTTCCTCTCAATATTAAATGCTTACCCCAGTGCAGCAGGATTCTTACTAATTATTCCAAAGAGGATGCTTATGATTTACCTAATTTGTGGCTCTCGCTTTGAAAAGCACACTAACATCCACAGCAAGGTGTTTATATTTGGTTCTAACCACAAAGAAAAACACGATGTTGATTTAATTTAAACATTTGCCTTCAGAACCAGGGGTCTACCTTGGAGTTTATAAACCATTTGGCAAGGGCATCCAAAATCAAGCCAAATATGAAGCAGTACGGCATTTACACAGCCCTGGATCTATTTGTAGATGCAAACAGCCGAACTATGAGGCCAGGCTGGACTGATGGGGGGAGGGAATCGGTACACAGGAATTAAACCATCCCGCAGCTTAGTGTTAGCAGAGCCCAGGGAGAACACCTGGTGTTGCTTCTTCCTTCCTAATTCCTCAAGTCCCACTCGCTGCATCCAAGGTGATGTGTATCTATGCTCCTTCAGCCAAAAACGGCTGTGTAGGACCTCACTTTGCAAGTTCTGCTACCTACCTCTGTCACTCTGTACCCAACCACCGCAATAACCAGATATCCTTAAGGAATGCAAATCTGCACCAAACCATAGGAGCGATGCTTTCTACCACACATCAGTATCCTGAACTACCGAACTCGGTAAGCCTGGACACAGTAACACATCTTTCTATGCAGACGTACTGATGTGTAAGTCTAGATTTATAAATACATGAAACATTTGGCAGTTCAGTACAGTTTTGAAAGACAGGGGGAATAGAATCATAGAATGTTTTGGGTTGGAAGGGACCCCCAGAGGTCACCCAGTCCAACCCCCCTGCAGGAGCAGGGACACCTTGAACCACATCAGGTTGCTCACAGCCCCATCCAACCTGGCCTTGAATGCTTCCAAGGATGGGGCCTTCACCACCTCTCTGGGCAACCTGTTCCAGTGTTTCACCACCCTCATTGTAAAGAATTTCTTCCTTATATCTAGTCTAAACCTACCCTGGTTTAGTTTAAAACCATTACCCCTTGTC